GCATCAGTATTGAGAAACAACGTGTGATGTGACAAACCGTAGTTTTCCAAACAATTAAGTATATCAGACTTATTATTGACCTTCCGTTTCTTGCCAAATTCGGAAATGGATGGAGGATAATATTTATTTTCGTGAGCAAAAAAATCTTCCACGTTGCCTGTGCGGCTTTGACTGGCCACATACATTTGACAAAATATGTTTGAGTCATGTTTAAGATCTGTTATTCTAAGCTTAGTTTTGTTACATGTCTTTTTAGGGCCATGAAATAGTTCCAAATTGTTTTTAGACAATGAATCATAAAAAGATTTTTGACCGAAAATTAAACGTTCTTTTACAAAATTTTCTTTTTGTTCCGCTTGTCTAACGGAGTTCTCTGCAGATTGAGACATTAAAATTTTTTGGTTGTCGATAGTTTGCAAAAGTTGTTCAGAAAATGGATTGCCGTCTTCCTGCATATATTTAACCATTTTTGAAACATGACTAATATATCGAGATTGAAAGCTTGCTGAACATTCATGATGACACCGATTTGGAACTTTATTAGACAAATTGTGCACTGGAATCTGGTCATAATCATGTATCATTCGTGAGATTTCCGGACCGGCCACCATCCATTTAAGAAGAGCATCATTATTATGCAAATTGTTGATAGCTCCACTACATCCTTTTATTAGTTTGTTATTTTGTTCATGCAATTGATCATCGGAAATTGCGGAGAAATCAGCATTAGTTTTTCTACTTGTGAAATGACCTTTCTGGAATGCTTCATAAACTTGCGGGTGTCGCACTGGTAGTTCTTTGAGCCCTTTTATGAAAACAGGAAGCCATCGTGAATAATGAATAAGATCTAAAGCAAACAACCAAGGACAAAGCTCTTCGAGCATTTGGACAAATAAACAGAAATCAGAAGTACGTATGCTACGAACAAAGTTAAGTAATATGCCCTCCAAAATTATGGTCGTCTGCCAAAATAAAAACTGAGCAGATTCTTTGCATCTTCGAGCCACCCATGTTTCCAGAGACTCCACTGCCGTTTTTTGGTTATCTCTATATGCGTTGTTTCTTAGAATGTAAAGTGCTGCAATACTAACTTCATGAGCGTATCTAGTTCTTTTAACATGTGAAGACTTAAGCAACGTTTCACTACGTCCAGAACTTGCGATTTCAGTCTTGAAAAATAATTCGGTCCAACCGCTTCCAGATAACCACTTTCCAATCATATTTTCAATAGCCATCTCAATGTGAAGTCCCCCCATCATTATAATCATTTTATCCTCACCATAAAGATCAGGGTATTTCCACTGAAGTTGCTTAGCAATCGCAAATACTGGTTGATCTGCAGTAATAACAACTGGTTGACCATAATTCACATTATCAATAATAGATGATATAATATTGATTAAATGTCGAACAGTGGCAGGTGATTGAATGTGATCCGGCAACAGAGGTAATAGTGTATTATTGCACACAGCTGTAGAAGGCAGACCATTGGTTTCTGCATGATACCCACTAAAAGAAATATTGCCAGATTTGAAGTTGTTTGATACCGCCATTTCAACAGCATTCAACCACGGAGTCAGTTGTTGAATAGTATTCGTTTCTGTTCTTATTGATGTTTCATTAATTGTAGTAAGAGGTGGTTCAGAAGATATATTGCCTGTTACCGGAAGCTCTGTATATTTTTCTGGTAAAGTGTTAATGACCGCACGGTTCCAATGCACATTTGACAAGTTTAATGAAGGAACCGTTGTTTGTACACTAGGATGTTGAATTATTGTTATGCTTGAACCGTGAAATGAATCTTCAGATGTTGTTGAAGTTGGATTATGATCAATGTTGTCAATTGCTGCTGTTGAAAAAACNGTTTTTTAACAAATTTGTTGGCACTACATCACCTATCTGTTTATAAGTTTCACATACTTCGTTAGTAATAGTGCTCAT